AATATCAGGGTCGCCAGCAGACTGGCCAACAAAAGATGCAGCAGTAGTCAAAGAGAATTGGAAGGTCGCCAGATGCAGAAAACTGGAAAACCAGACTACGAGTTCCAGCATTCCATGTAATAACTAAAAACAATCGCAGTGCGTGCAATCAATCCTGACCAATTCTTAGACGAAAAATTGACTTTCTGTAAAATTATCACACAGCGCAGAAAGTAAATTTACCTGAAAAATCATGTATGGCAGAATGAAAGGACGTTTTTCCTTGAAAATGCCATAAATTAGTGTGCCGAAGATTGCGAGAGCGAATGCGAACGATGCAACGGAATAGAATGCTAGAGTGGTACCTTGTGTAGCAATAGCCAGGAAGACATTGAGCACTGCACCGCATAAATAAGCCACCGAGACCACTCGGGCAGCCAACTAAATTATCCAGGAAACAAATGAAAAATATAACAGAATTGTGCGTTTTTGTGGTGAAATTTTGACAAACTTTTAATACCATCAAGTTGGCTATACAATCGTGGTGTATTACATTCTTGAGCCACAACCACCTTGCACCGCTTCGTTAGGATGATCGCAGAAATGCATGATCGCACTGGTATTTCGGGCATGCGTTGTTTTTCATGAATGGGTATTAAGAGATAACAAATGGACAAAGCGGATTATTGAACGGTACCCGTGCGATATTAAAATAACACAGGAATGGCAGCCGGCTTCGTGTAAGAACTAACTTGAACTGCCATTTGGAATTATGTGGTCGAGAAAAGCCCAAGATAGGGAAGAATGGAGAAGTTGCCAACTACATCATCGGTGACAAGAATCGCAACGATGAAATAAATGTTGACCAAAGTATCAAAGTACCAGGAAAATTTGACATTCGGTTTGAGTATCTCATATTTATACTTTTACTGAAATGCTTCCACAAACCGTTTGCGCTACATAAGACGTTTCGATCACTAATTGCCTATTATTTATCAATATTTTCAAGTATTTCGAATAATTCAATGGCAAAAATACACTAAAACGAACAGTGATATGCATATGGCGGCAGCAGCACTGATATTTCGGGTCATTGTGATCGAAACTTCTGGTACCATTGAAATCGGGCGGAGATTTTGGCAAATTTGGTGTTATTGGTATCACGTATTGCGGTGAATCAGGCGGTGATTCTGATTTAGTGTTGGGTACCACTGGTGGGGGTATTGACGAGGACATTATTACTGCTGAACAGCAGCTACTGATTCAACGTCTCGCGATGACTGCTGGAAGTAACGTTGGAACAGGAGCGCTGGGATGAAAAGTGCTACTTTCGGCGAAATCGGCGAAACATCCATCGCTCCAGCTGTACAAATACACTATGGGGAAAACTGAAGGAGCATGAGGGAGGGGGAAAGAGCAGAGCACTCCGGATGGGGGCTAGCTTTTCGCTGGAGACCATTGCTTTTAAGCTTCTTTTCTAATTTACTGTGATACAAAGTGATGTGCAAAGGACAACCTTATGTTACCAATTAGCTCATAGAGCTGCATCTGTGCATATCGTTTATTAAAGATATCTCAAGATCGTCTAAACAATCGATTTGCAGATCGGAAAGTTGGGAATATTTTTAGGATACCAAGTGC